AAAAAAAAAAAGTAGAACATGGTCACCTTCAGGCCCCAGGTATCCTCCCCAGACACAACTTTCTTGCTTCCTACCATCTCTTCTTAACGGTGTCCGTGCCTGTTTCTCATTAACCTGGTGAGGGGTGAAAAGAGCTGCTGCCGGGACTTCTGGCTTGAGTTCTGTTCACACTGCTGTGTCTGCTGCATATGGAGAAGAAGTAGGTTTCCATGGGAGCTACAGAGCACAGTGACTGCCATTTCCATGGATGAGTCTTGTGTGACTTTTCACTGGGAAAACACTTTGTTTCTCCCTACCTTTGTGTCTTGGGGCCTGAGGTGGAATCTCAGCAGCTCATGCTCTGGCATCTGTCCTTGTGGAACAGGCCCACCCAGCTCTAAGACCCTTGGAATTCATCCTTGTGTCTAGGATAAAGATGTGAAAGGTCTTTGCCCTACCAGCTTCCCACAGGCTTATTCAGGGGCTAATATCTTCAAAATCTAGCTGTGTGCCCTACCCCCCTACAGATGGTGTAAAGACAAGAGGGGATCTGGGAGAGGCTGCATTTTACATAGGACCCACCCATTACATGATGCCTGTGAATATTAGCATCTAATAACACTAACTGGAAACATCAGGGTCTATGGCTGTGATAGGAATGGGCTTCTATGACTGCTTTCTATTCCTGAGCAGTGACTCCTAGTAGGCTGGTGGCTCCTAGTGAGGCAAGAATTTTCTGTTCTCTCTGGAAAGCTATAGCCAGAGCATCTTAGCTGTCTGGGTCAGAACCACCCAGGTTTTCTGATTTGTATCTGCAACCTGACCCCCTCCTCCTGGTCTTTTGTCCCTGTGATGACCTCAGGACTCAAATGTGCCTAACCAGGAGTTCAGAAGTCAGGATAAGCCACTTGTCAGCAGGGGTGCTGTGTGTCCCTCATTCCCCAGAGGATCTGAGCCCTGAGATCTTGAGGCTGATAGGTGGTGACTCTCATCCCCAGGTGGCAGCAATGGTCCCTTCCTGTGTGGGAAGCAGACTACATTTGAAGGTGGCATGAGGGAACCTGCGATCGCTTGGTGGCCAGGGCACATTGCTGCAGGCCAGGTGAGTCAGCGTTCCACACTGAAGCTTTATCTCCTGCAAGGTCTCTGGGGGCACTGGTGCCAGATGATAAAGAGTCTTCTGTAGTCAATCGACTGCCCATGTTCTGTGGACTTACACCAGGGACAGCTGCAGCCCTCCATGGGACCCTGATGCCTTTGTGGCAAAGACCAGAGGTAGGGCCTCAAGTGGGTGAGTGTGTATCTTGCCCCAGTCTGGACACTTTCATGTCACGCAGCATCCTCACCTCCAGCTCTGTTCCCAGGTAGGCCACCCCTTGTTTAAGAATCCACTGCAGAACTTGTAGTCACCACGCTAAGTGCTTGCTGCTGAGATTAACGTTCATGTCACTGTTCCTCAGCTGACTCTTCCTCCAGCGATCTTGAAGACAGTGCCTCCCTTTGGGTTCCTCAATTCACCCTGCAGTGGGAGCCTCCATATTCTTAGGAGTGGACAGAATAGCTGATTTTAGCAAATACTGGCTTGCATGGAGAGTACAGGCCAATCTCCTGCTAGAGACCAGACGATGCACATCCTTAATCCCACCCACTGTCTTATTTGCCTATTGCTGTGTGATATCCTGTAGCACAGAGTTCAGGGATTGCGATACAGATGTCCCTCGTGGCTACCATCCTGCCAGACACGGTCTTTACGCTTCCTCTATTGCACATGTTAGGAAAGTGAGGCCCAGAGAGGTCACCTGTCCAGTCTGCCAGCTCCTACGGCAGACCTGGTGACAACCCCCAGGTGTCCAGCCATGAGACTTACCCTCAGTATCTAGCTTCTAAACCTAGACCTGCTTGAGCCTCTGCCCCTCACTGCCGTCTGCCTGGGGCCTCTTGACATGAGACTTCCAGGTCACACTAATCCCAGAGCCTCACCGGGTGGTGGATCTCAGGGTTTGTTGGACAGGCCTGCCTGTCATCTGGCCAGCTCCCTCTGTAGAACAGAGTGCCCATGGCAGTAAACACATCATATGTAGAAGACACATGGTTACTGGGATACTAATGGCCGCTCAGACTGGCCGTGACCCTCTGACCCTCAGGAGAGGGACCTAGCCCACAGCCGCACCAACCCTTCCTTTCCTCAGCGGTCACTCCCAGCTCTCATGTCGTCATTGTCATCGGGCGGGGAATGGGAGACACATGAGGTTTTCCTGGGAAGGGACACTTGGCATGGCCTTGGTTCCCCCATGAGGAGCCATTTCCAATCCTAGGTTGGACCCCGCCCCCACCTGGCACGGGCACAGCTCAGAGGGACAGGAAAGAGAACACTGGAGCTGCCTGTGGCCCAGGGCGCCTAACCTCTGTGCGTGTGGCCACTGGGTCGGAGGATCTGCTTCCACAGCTGTTCCTGACAGATGCCCTCCGGAGGCTCGACACTGGGGTCAAAGACACACAGCCTTGCCCTCTGAGGAGAGACAGAGCTCCAGAGCTCCAGAGCGGCGGCTTTCTTTCACCGTGCTTCCCACAAGACAGCAAACTGGAATGGAATCACGTGGGATTCAGGCTGTGCTCTGTAATAACTTTAAACACCCCAACATTCATCTCCCCTGCAGCAGACACAGCCTTCCTGTTGCCGCACCTGGCAGTGGTGGTATAATTGCAGCCTTCGATCCCGTTTCATGGCGAAGAAGCTGACGGCACCCTCCTGCTGTTCAGTACAGTATCCCAAACAGCCCGCGTGTGCTCAGCTGCAGGCACCGGCGGAGCTGTCAGGTCCCCTCCTTTCAGTCACCTCAGCCATGGGACATGCTCCCTTCCCTTATTTTTTCCCTAATGATGAAAGTTTCCGGATCCCCCCCCCCCCCCCCGCTTCCCTCTTTTTTGGAGGGAAATGCGTAGCAGGGACCATGAACCACTCAGAAGGCTCCGTTCCCTGCAAAGGCTTCAGAAGGCCTTGGTTGTTCCCTTGCTGCCATAGGTAGGGAGACCCTGGCACCTGTAAGAACGTTCCCAAGGAGGCTCTACAGAAGCGCGTCCATGTCAGACAGGGACCTTGTTGCATGGTAACAGTCGTGTCTGTCAGATTTCGGAAAGAGACGAGAGTCTGAGCGACCTCAACAGATGGGACTTTTATTTCAAGCGGTGAAGGACAGCCGTGTTCCTGTGGGGAAGGAGGGGTCTGCGTGGGGCGGGGGCACGGGTTGTGGGGTTTGGGAATGGGGAACTAGGTACTCCAGCAGAGAGAACACGCAGATTGCAAGGCTCTCTCCCGCATTGTTTGTCCAGACAAGGCCATTTTGTCTTTAGAAGCCGCCCCCACCCCCGAGCTATCAGGATGTGGGTGATACGTGACTGAGCCAGGCAAGGCAGGAAGGACGGGAGTTTCGACATAGAGGTAGAGGATTTCAGCAAGCCTTAGGGGACAGGAGGTCCCGTGGTCAGGGGCCGGCTGAGTTTGTTGGAGGTTTATTCAGTGTCTCCAGCTGGCACGACTGAATGAGGGCCAAGCAAGGAGTGATAAGGCCAGTGCCGTCTAAACTGAACTCGGGCTGAGGTCCGGACTGGCTGCTATGGAGTCATGTCTTCCTAGAGGACCACAGACGCCCTCTTCCAGAGACTGTGCTCATCGTACGCCGGCCTTCCCAAGCCACAGAGGTCAAGAAAAAGACATGCACACTGCCTCTCTCCAGCACAGCAGCACTTAGAGGGTATTGGGGGTGGGTGAGCCCGTGAAGGAGATCAGTGTTACCGAAGAGGCAGAGCCACAGAAGACCCCCAGCCACTTACTGACTGGGGCTGCCCTTGAACATGAGCAGAAAACAGTCACGCACGCTTCCCACAGGGCTAATACATCCACAGATAAACAGTAGTGGACCCAGCAAGTGCCCCTGCCTCTCTTGGAACGTCTCACTGGGTGGGACAGGAGCAGCACCATTTGGGTTGGCTTCCTTGCTACTTCTGGGACACTCCTGACCTTTTCTCTTTCGGTGTACAAAGCTCATAGTAGCTTTCAGGTGTCAAGTGTTAAAATGAACGTTGCCTACTCTCTCGGAACAGCTGAGCCTTGAAAGGAGGGACCCCTGTGTTTCTCTGTAAAGAGCCAGGAAGAGATGCTAGCATTCTGGGTCTAACTATGACAGCTGCTCCATGGGTAGCAGAAGTGGGGCATGAATGTGGCCTGACTCTGGGGTCAGATATGCAGTCTAAGTCCCATCTACCACCTACCATCCCTATGACTCCACTCAACCCTGGCTGTGACCCCCCTCCCCATGGCATGTGGCAAATATGTACAAGTTGGAGCATGTGTGCACATCTGCAGACCCAGAGGAGAATCGGGTGCTCATCACCCCAGGCTCCAGCCCCCAAACACCATCAGCTCAGGATGTCTCAAGGAGTACTACATCCGTTTCAGGTCAGCCACCAGCTGGGAAGCATCATGGACCTCTTTACCACCAGCCTGTCCCTTGCAGGCCTGAAGCCACCCAGTGACAGGGTAATCGACGGACTTGACCTACTCCCCAACATGCTTCAGGGCCACACCATGGACAGGTTGGTGCTGGACAACATCTGTTTCAGTTCTAGTCCTCCCTCCCTTGCCCTGCTCCTCATGGTGGAGCCCAGCGCTGCTCACAGGCTGTAACTTCCTCATTGGCTAGCTATTGACCCACATGGAAGGAAGCAGGAGTATAGATGCGGGAACAGAGGGAGACAAGATGGTATGGGGAACCTTGTAGCTATGGAGTGTGTACCTGGGAAGGAGACCAGCCTGGGCCCATTGGGGCACTGAGAAGCCCTGACTCTTAGGAAAACATCTTAAGGCTTTAGAGGTAAGGGGTGTCCTAGCATGTATGTAGGCTTCTCCCAGGCCCAGACCCATCTGATTTCCAAGAAGAGGGATCTCATTATCACCAGCTCAACTCCTTTGCCATCCCAACCTCCTAGGGCCTGGCTTTGCCTCATCAAAGGCCAGGGACAAGCAGGGGATGACTCGGGCCAATCCCTATAGCCTTGTTGACTACCATACACACAGGGCCAAGTGAGACCCCAGGACCTCATGAATGCTAGGAGAGCATTTTGCTGAGCCACACACCCCTGTCCCCTCCTGCTTTTTATACTATGTGGCCTTAGTACCTCTTTAAAGTGTTAGTCAGCACCTGCCTGGAGGCATGGGCAGCTCACCACTCCAGAAGCCCCACACGTGAATACAAGGACTTGATCATGATTCCTTCTCTCCTCAACACAACAGGCCCATATTTTATTACCGTGGCAACACACTGATGGCAGTCACTCTTGGCCAGTACAAGGCCCACTTCTGGACTTGGACCAACTCCTGGGAGGAGTTCAGACAGGTACAGGCCCCTGAGTACAAGCCCTGGGAGGGGCACCACTGGAAGATCCCTGGAGAACTGATCTGTCCACTTCTAAGCTACCATCAGGGGAGGTACCGTGGCCCTGCAGCCTCCCTCCCTCCCTCATGTGGCCCTGTGGGCCCTGCCCATTCTCAGTTTGCATGTACAGATGGCCAGAGGTAAAGGCTGGGCACACTTCCTTCTCCCCTGTGTGATATGGGCTCCCTGGGACACACTAGGGGCATGAGTTGTGTCCAACGGAGAAAGAAGGTAGGGGACAGACAAATACTCTCTCCTGGCATGTCCTGCCTGCACAGGAGGTCTTCAGAGAGCACGAGGTCCAGGTTCAGGCAGAGGGCCTCACTATCTACCATGCCCCTAACTAAGTTTCTCCTTAGCACCCCTCTCTTGCTCCTTCCAAAGCAGGCAGCATCAGTGGTGGCCTGACCAGGTCCAGATGCTAATGCCCACAAATGGAGGCATCAGTATCTACATCCTGGTGCCTGCTCAAGGTCTGAAGGTGAAGTGCCACACCACATATAACCCATGTGGGGCTGCCATGGTTCCTGTGTCTTGCAAGGTACTGGTCCTACCTCCTCCATCCCCTCAGGCTCTGCAAGGTTCTTAAACACATGAAAACCTACTAATGTGCCTTAATAGGGAAGAAAATTACTTAATGAAAAACCCAAATACTAGAACATTCTGAACCAACAAGGAAGCAAACTATAAATGTCTCTGCTCAGGAGGCTCCAGCTAAGCAAGGCTTTGGGCTGGGCAGTATGCCAGGCTGGGCTGGGTATGTGTGGGCAGGTGAACAGCATATACCCAGGTGGACATGTGGCCATAACTCAAAGGCACAATCCCCGGTGCCTTGTTTAGAAGTTTGGTACAGCCTAGGACAGTGTCCAAAACCCATGTTTCGCCCATCCCCTTTCTGACCCACACTGCCTGAGGGCCATCCTAACCATTGGCCTGCCATGCCATCAAAGACTATTCTAGTTAGGGTTTCTATTGCTGTGAAGCAAGTTGGGGAGGAAAAGGTAGGTTTGGCTCACACTTCCTCACTGTAGTCCATTACTGAAGGAAGTCAGGGCAGGAACCTGGAGGCAGGAGACGATGCACAGGCCATGGAGGGGAGCCGCTTACTGGCTTGCTCCCCATGGCTTGTTCAGTCTATTTTCTTATAGAACCCAGGACCACCAGCCCAGGGATGGCACCGCCCACAGTGGTCTGAGCCCTCCTCCGTTAATCACATCTTCCGGAAGCATTTTCTCAGTTGAGAGTCCCTCCTCTCAGATGACTAGCTTGTGTCAACAAGCTGACAAAACTGTCCGGCGCAAGCAGCCAGTGTCCTAGAGACCTGTTTCCCGGGTGCTCGTGGACACCCCTGGTCCCTGTAACCCCGGAGTGCCTCTGGAATTCCCTCAAGGGATCTGAGGCTACAGGGAATAGAGCGTTAGGGTTGCCACACATGCCCTTGTACACTCCTCAGGGTTTTTTCCTGGGATACCTATTGTTGGCTCCTTGAGAGTCTGGGTAGTTTAAAAGTCAGAAGGAAGAAATCCCCTCTCATGCCTGGGTGGATCTCTCTCTGGATCCCTGCAGGGCCACATGGGGATAAGGTGGCTACTCTGCCACTTTGGGCTCCTTAAGGCAGGGTCCAGAGAAACCCATCTTTGCTTCTACCAGACTAGGCCCCACCCAAGAAGGCATACATCAAATCCTGTCAGCACCTTTGAATGTCTGGAAGATTCTCCAGGCAGAAGTCATATCTACATGGCATGGTGGGTATGAGTTGGTCCTGACTTGAACACATTTACTCTAAAGGCCAGGTCTGAGGGTATTATAGCCTGCATACTCTACTCCAGGTCACTTGAGAGGCTAGCCTGTTCCACTCCCTACTTGGGCCTAGGACCAGTGGAACCCAGGATTCCTTAGTGTGACTATTCCATACAGACTGATAGGCAGGTCCTCAGTGCACTACCAAGTAGGCCCCACCCTTTGGTGGAGGCTTTAACATCCCTTCCTCGAAACCCAGTGCTAGAAACCAGCCAGGCCTGGTGGGAGGTGAGGAGAAAATACAGAGATGGACAAGGGTGCCAGACTCATTAGGAGCAGGGATTTTTGTTGTTGTTGTTTTTCTGAGACAGGGTTTCTCTGAGTAGCCCTAGCAGTCCTGGAACTCACTCTGTGACCACAGTGACCTCAAACTCAGAGATCTGCCTGCCTCTGCTTCCCTCCCAAGGGCTAGGATTAAAGGCGTGTGCTACCACCACCCAGACTTTTTTTTTTTTTTAATCAGTTGACTTTTTTTACTTAATTAAACTGCAGCTGTCCTGAGTTCCCATGGTCTGATTTAGAACTGAAGCCTAGCTAAAAGGGGAGGGGTATTTTTAAAGGCAAAAGGCCACCATCTGTCCCTGCTGATGTGAGCTGCAGGTGTGAGAACATCCCAGGTCTGTTGTTCCTGGAATTCCTGGCAGTGTCTTAACGGCCTCAGGTTGCTCACTGGACTAGCTTCAGACCTAAAATGGAGTCCTCAGCTGCTACAACACCTGAACTTTCACCGTCCCAGGAGAGTGGGTCAACCAGAGGGTTCGTGTCCCTCACCATCTCTCCAAAATCAGTGTTTGATTTCTAGCAGCCTGCCTGTCCCCTGTGCATCCAGAGCCAGGCCAGAGTCCAGCTCTGTGGGGAAGATAAAGCATAATGTACAGCAGGCTGGCTTCCCTGCCAGTGCCCTGAGGGTGAGGTGCTCAGACAACCCCAGCTGTAAGAGAAATCCTAGACCAATTAGCAGGATCTTAATTAAATAGCTTATTTGATTTGCATCCAAATTATAATTTATGTGTTCCATCTAGACCTGGGTACTTCTCCACTGCTTACTTAACATTTCCTGCTAACTGTGGTGGTTCCCTGCCGTGCACTGTTTGTTTGTTCCCTGGCAGGGCGCTCCCGGAGGTCCAGATTCTGGAGCCCACGGTGACGGGAAGGTAGCCTGTCCTTCCAGCCCCCGTTTGTCTCTGCAGCTCGGTGCAAATGGAACTTCATAGTCTGCGCCCTCCCTGCTTTAAAAGCTAAACTGCCACCATCACAGGGTTTTTTACTGGTGTTAGAGACGTTTGTTAGTGAACTGCACTGCACTGCACTTTCCAGCCCAGCCACCATTTCAAATGTAAGCAAACCCTACAATGTTGTTTCCCACTGGCAGCATGGCTGACACAAGGGCACCTGAATCCTGGTACTTAGTGTGAGCTCCTGCCTCACAGTTCTGTCTGGGACTGTTGGAGACTTGATGGGGACATTCCCCATCAGTGCACCCTGGGTAGTAACCAGAGAGATCTGGGAGGGCAAAGGACGAGCTTGCACACATGAACCTTTGTAGTGGAATCAGGCTGTACCTAGGAAAGCGAGCCTCAGCAGCCAAGCTACCTGAGAAGAAGCTGCAGGGGTTGGCTCCATGCTACCAGAGTACATAGTCAGCCTCCCCTCTGCTTCTGAATGCAGAAGTGGTGGTTATTTATAGTCTGTGCCCTTCTCTTGAGTCTGTTGGTCATGACTGTTTTGTCCCTTACCTTCACCTTCCACGTTCAGCTCTGGGTCTATCTACATGTTCTCTAGGCTTTTGAGCAAAAGGCCCTTCTTTTTGCCTGGTCTAGTGACTCATCCATCCCCTTCTAAGAAGTCCACTGTTCTCCCTGGCCACACACTGAGAGGGCTTTATGGAGCTCAGGGGCTCTCCTCTGAGCCACTGGTCAAAGTCAAGATGTGGGACTGCAGGCCGGGCGGTGGTGGCGCACGCCTTTAATCCCAGCACTCGGGAGGCAGAGCCAGGCGAATCTCTGTGAGTTCGAGGCCAGCCTGGGCTACCAAGTGAGTTCTAGGAAAAGGAGCAAAACTACACAGAGAAACCCTGTCTCGAAAAACCAAAAAAAAAAAAAAAGAGAGAGAGATGGGGACTGCCTACACTGTTTCATTTTGTTTTGAGGCAGGGTTTCATGTAGCCCAGGATGACTTCAAACTCAAGATATTCCTACTTCTACCTCCTGAAGCTTTTCCCTTCAGCCAGATGGCCATATTCTACCCGATTCATGTTCGTTCATCAGTGAACACTGCAGCACTCCATCTGTGTAGGCAGAAAGCTCTGGTGCTAGAAGGTACAGGGGTATGTGGATGTGAGGAACAGGACAGTAGGGCACCTCTTTTGACATGGGCTCTGGCCCTGGGGTATTCAATTGGACTCTATGCCTCTCGTTGCAGGGCATTGACTTCTGTCCCGGTCAGAATGTCTCAGGAGTCACAACCCATACCCAGGAAGAACACACGGAGCTACCCCTGATCTTCCACCTGGGACGTGACCCAGGGGAGAGATTCCCACTCAGGTGAGGCAGGGGCAGGGTGTCCATGCTCCAGAGGAGACATTGGCCAGACAGGCCAAAGGTGAGAACCACGTCTGGGTGTTCTGTCTTCCATGGAGTTACTCCTCTGGTCTCAGAAGGAATGTATGCCTTTGTGAGGGTGTGAACCACACAGAGGGCTGGAACCAGAACCCACAGCACTCATCTAGGGCCGATGTTGAACCTATCAATTCCCAGAAACCTACATCTCCACTTTGGATCGTGGCTGCCTTGCTCTCTGGGAGCCCTCTTCTTGTATTCCTTTCCTGGTTGCTTCTCATCTCTGCCCCTTCTAGGTTCTGTCCACTTACACCCCCCAGCAATGGGTCCTATTCTCTGAGCTACCTTCAGGGATGGCCAAGGGATCCAGGCTTAGGATACATCTGTCCGCACTGCCTAGTCCTCTTCCTAGAAGGCTGCTGTGCTGGGAGTGGCCCTACTGTCATCAAGGGAGCAGCCAAACCTAGCGCAAGGTTGGAGTACAGCCTAAGTCTCTGAAGGCCTTCAGTTCCCTTGGGATCACAGTGGTGGTTGGGGTACTTGCAGGGTAGGGACCAGGGGGTCATCTTCTTACCAGTCATCCTGAGACATGAGGAAATCTGAGGACTTAGTTCACATGCAGAATTCTCTCTGCCCATGTCTTGTTAGATCCTGAGTTGCAGATAACTGAGATTCGTCTGCAGCCTGAGCTTGGCACCCTGCATGTACCCAGCCCCAGGCTCTGCTCATTGTGGGCATATCAGCGGTGTGTGTTGTGCTGAGCCATGCACCACACAGTGAGTGTGCTGTGGTTTGCTTCACACTCAGCTAAAGGCTCCCTGACAGTCCAGCAGATGCTATGGTACAGGGGGATGGATGGACCTTGTTGGAATGGTCAGGTGAAGGGGGGTTGTACAGAATGGGGCAGGAGAGGACACAGATGGCTAGATAGCTCAGTGGAGAGTGCTTGCCTAGTGCTCCATCCCTAGCACCTCCAGAAAAGAAAAATATATTTCATTGGTCTTGTCTGGGAGGGAAATTTAGCATTAAATTTTTATTTATTTGAGACAGGGTCTTACTATGTAGCCCTGGCCTGGAATTCACTATACAAGGCTGGCCTCAAACTCACATTGATCAGCCTGCCTCTGCCTCCTGAGTGTTGGCTTTAAAGGTGTGAGCCACCATGCTCCCCTTGGCATTAACCTTTAAGGAACCACCGGTCATGTCCCAGGGCTGAGGCCTTGGTTCCTCATGGCCTCCCCATGCTGCCCAGGGACAGACTTGTTCCATGGGATGTAGCAGCTCATGGGTTTTCATTTATAGTTCCCTGAGGACACATTGTGTGGGCAACAGTAAACATGATGTAAAATGACAAAAAGACTTGGTCCCCATTGACATCCTTGCAGCTTCATTTTAGTACCACAGTTGGTGACAGTCCAGAGGTTGGTTATGTGCCATCTGCATGGTGCATCCATTAACTTGTCTTCTTAGTGAAAAATGAATCAAATTCTGAAGGTGCCTATGCTGGAACTTCAGGGCTGTGTGTGCTGTTTTCCTTCCATCTGCACCTGACCCCTTCTCAGCATAAGACAGGACTTTCTAAGGAAACAGCACGTGTCGTATGTGTACGTGTTTCAGAACAGTGCCAACTGCTGTGGCGGTTCCCGTGGAGAGGCCCCAGTCTGCAGGGCCCAGTCTCCAACCCACACACAGGTCGTGTTGGCAGTGACAGAGGAGGGCTCCCTGCCATAGCTCAGCTTCCTAGGCCCTCATTTCCTTCCCCTGGCAGAGTCTGACCACAGGAGAGCAGCTCACAGTACAGACAGCTGTCCAGGGAGGCTCAAGGGTCACCATGTGGGAGCCCACAGCCCACTCTGACTTCAGACTGCCACCCTTGCTCTTCCCACCTCTAGAGACAACTCAAGGTCTCAGGCTTTCCAGGCTAGACCACTTCATGTCCTAGAATGTCTGTGAACCTCCTAAGCTGCCTGCCAGGAGATGATTGGCCTTGGACACAAGAGCATTGTAACCAGAGCCTTCTTCTCTCCAGCTTTGCCAGTGATGAATACCAGGATGTCCTCAGCAGGATGACCCAGGTTGTCCAGCGGCACCAGAAGTCCTTGGTCCCTGGACAGCCCCAGCTCAATGTGTGTAGCCAGGCTGTCATGGTGAGTGGTCTATGTGTGCATGTTGGGGCTTGCCTGTGCTTGGCTACTGCTACCCATGCCAGACACTGGTCTCATCCAATTTTGAAGACATCTTGGCTCCCTGTACACATGCAGCTCAGCCTGGTAAGGTGTACTCAGGCACCAAAGTGGAAATCATTGTTCTGGACAGTATGGGAGGGAAATGCACAACATCCCACTACTAGGATTATCGGAGGGTGAGTAGCCTTGTTCAGGACAGGGCTGGGTACGGCAGGAACATAAGAGGGAGGGGGTCGCTTAAAGCAGCCATACTGGAAGGTCTATACCCAGCAAAGATGGCTCCCCATGCTGTGTAGATAGAGTTCCCCTGTATACTCTAGTCCCTTCCCAAGCCCCTAAGGCTGCTTGCACTTAGGGCAGAATTGCATGTAACTGACTAGGAGTGGCTGGATACTCAGGTGAGAGTCCCATGATTCTCCTGGTGGTCCTTAAATCAATAGTTAACAAACCAAGCTGTCATGATATTTTTGTAAGCAAGCCCAGCTAACGTCCTGAAGATGGCACCAGTTTGGCTCAGGAGACAGTCCCTACCATACTAGTGGTCTGACCTCTAAATGATAGTGGTAGTTCAGGAGTTTCTCAGGACTACCAGGTTTCTGGGGCCCCAAGAGCTTGAGTGTCCTCACGGTGGGGCATTGCTGTCCCCATCCTGTCTGCAGCTGCTCTGTAGCACAGGCTGAGTCCAGTGAGTGGCCTCAGGGGAGAATATGGGTCTTTTCCTAACAAGCTGCTGTGACACAGTCTAGGGGTTCTGATCAAGTTCATTTTCTCTGCCAATCAAATAATTAAAAGTCAGGAAAAGCCGGGGCGGTGGTGGCCCACGCCTTTAATCCCAGCACTCGGGAGGCAGAGCCAGGCGGATCTCTGTGAGTTTGAGGCCAGCCTGGGTTACCAAGTGAGCTCCAGGAAAGGTGCAAAGCTACACAGAGAAACCCTGTCTCGGAAAAACCAAAAAAAAAAAAGTCAGGAAAAATCTGGAATCAGCAGGCAGCAGCGGAGGAAGACCAAGCAGCACACAGGATCAGCAGTTGAAGGAAGGCGTTCAGTGGGGGTGAGGACACATACATGTAGCAGACACAGAGAACAACAAACCCTCTGTGAAGCAAAACTCCAGTCTCTTCCCGAGGGCTGGGGCTTTAAAGTCTCTGCAAGGTTTTCCTCCCCTAATTTAGGGTTGGTCAGTTTGAAGAAAACTAGGGTGTGTGATAGGCCCAGAACCCGTGTGTGGCCTGTCATGAGCAGGCCTTGAACTGGTTGAGCCAGTCCCTAAGTGGGACGCCTGCTGGTGGGGGACAGAAGTCTACAAAGCTCATGTCTTTTTTTTTATTATTATTGCTGATTGTGCCCAGACAAGTCTGAATAACTGTAGTTTATTTCCTTAAATGTCATTTTCTAGAATTGGGCACCCCCAGGCTGTGAAAAGCTAGGGAAGTGTCTGACACCTCCTGAGTCTGTCCCTGAGAAGTGCTCCTGGCCCCATTAGTCAAGACCAGAATCTCCAGTCAGCCCTGCAAGTGTCCGGAAGGAAGGCTTTGGCCTTGGGACTGATGGACGAAAGAGACCAGCTGCCCTCTGCTCACCCACCACTGGTTGGATGGCCTTTGCAACCAGTAGCAAGGTTCCAAGACTGTATACTGGAGACCTGACCCTGGAGTCCACTCTGGCACTGCAGCCCATCTTCCCAGCTGCCTATTGAAAAAGAAGCAGTTCTTACTGCCCTGCTGCTCTTGACCATGACCCAGTGCTCCAGCCCAGGGTCTGAAGGGCTGTCACTTTGCCTTCTCACTATTTCTGCATATATTTCAACGTTGGTGCTTTAGACAGAGGTGAAGATTTCACTGCTATGCCATGGAGCCACCATCTGCCTGGCCATCAGTCCTCACCCCCATGACAACTCCCTCGGGTTACCCTCCCTCTTTTCCCACTGGCTACAAACAAGAGACAAAAATATCACATCGTCCAAGCCCAAGGTGAGATCTGTTACTGCCCCATGGAGACAGGAAGGTGACAGCCTAAGTTTCTGGCTCTGGCTCAGCACACTATGGGTCCACTTCTGCTGTACCTGCCATCGGTCATGTGCAGGCTACAAGATATAATCTCCAAAACCCCTTCCCAGAAGGCTCGTGGGAGCTGTCTGTCCATCATGAACAAGTTTTCACATCTCTGCAACGATTGTAGTGCCAAAGCTGAACTGTAAAGGTTGGAAAATGATAACGAAGAAAGATTGAGAGACCAAGAATAAAGGAACAGGAGGTGTGTTGGTTTTTTGAGACAAGGGTTTCTTTGTGGTGTAGCTTTGTCCTGGAACTGGCTCTGTAGACCAGGCTGGCCTTGAACTCAGAAATCTGCTTGCCTCTGCCTCCTGAGTGCTGAGATTAAAAGCATGTGCCACCATGCCCACCTATCCTGGTTTTTAAAATAGAGATGATGGGAGACATTGTATGTTAGATGTCCCATGTACCTGTTGCATGAACTTCCCCTGGAGAGACATAATCATCTATATGTCTCAGATAGAATACCAATGACAGACCAAAGTAACAATTGCATCTAATGAGTTCACTGCTTACAGGAGCATGGATGACCCCAAAGCAGCTCCATCATCCTAACTGAAAAGTCTCAACCCAGCATGGATGACAACTTCCCTAAAAATGCATAGTGGAGCCTCCCTTCAGTTAACCTTCCACCCTGTATATATAAAATATACTCTAGCATCTCCAGAGACTGCCACAAATGGAAGAACTACAGCAGGCAGGGGGGGGGGTGAGGAAAGGGATGGTTGGAATCTATTAGACCTTTCTCACACCCTCTCCATTGACAGAACATAGGTCCAATCTGGAGGATTTCTTTTGAGTAATTACAACTGCACTGTAACACGAATCTTAAAAGGTCTTATTAATAAAAAACCCAGAGCCAGATATTGGGGTGAACGCTGAAAGATCAGAGAAGCAGAGAGCAAGCCACTAGTTCTTACCCCTACAAAATCCTCCACCGAAAGAGAGCAAGTTCCTGTTTCCTCACGCCTTATATACCTTTCCCGGTCCTGCCATATTACTTTCTGGAATTAAAGGCATATGTGCTTCCCAAGCAAAGGCATGAGATCTCAAGTGCTGGGATTAAAGGTGTGTGCCACCACTGCCTGGCTCAGTTCCCAGTATGGCCTTGAACTCACAGAGATCCAAACAGATCTCTGCCTCCTGAATGCTATGATTAGGGGTGTGTGCCACCACTGTCTGGCCTCTCTGTGTACTCTAGTGGCTGGCTCTGTCCTCTGATCCTCAGATAAGTTTTATTGGGGGATATTTATTCACTATACCACACCGAAGATGATAATGGGCATTATACTTGGAGGACAGTCTTGTGTCTGGGCAGGTAGATCCCACTCTGTCCTTGGCTGTCCAGATCTTCGGGTCCTCTCCCCCAAACGAAGAGGGTACAGATGCCCAGGAGGGTCTGTGGCCTCAAGGTAAGCACCCCTCACCCCGACGTGCTGTCCTGCTTTTCCTCTCCACTCCAGGCCATACACAATGCACTTGCACCTCTGTACTTGAAACTGCCCTCCAGCTCCCTTCCTAGCTAATTCCCGGAAAGCAGGGGCTGAATTTCAGTCCCCTTGCACTGCGTGCCAGAGCAAAGGGACTGTGGTAACATGCGCACCGGCCCCTCCAGGTCCAGAAGGCTGGCCCTGGGAGAAGCGGGTCTGAAAGAGTGCAGGACCCAGAAGCCAAAAAGGGTACCAAGGCACGTATTCTTTTTCCACCCAGAAATAACCCTAGATTTCCAGTTTGAAGTCACCTGGGGTTCGAGCAAATGTACTACTTCCTGCCAGAGGCCACCAGCCCCCCAACCAACTCCCCCAGAGGCCCGCCCCCTCCTGGTCCCGCCCCTCCCGCCCCTCATGCTGGACCTCTCCCTAAGGACGCCCCGCCCTAGAATTCCCGCCCACCAAGGATGCCCCGCCCTTGTTCCCGGGACTAGTTTAACCCTAGCCTGCTGACACCCCTCCGCCCTTCCTCTCGAGTGCACGCGGATATGGCGGAGCCTGAGTTGCAGCTGGTGGCGCAGCGCATCCGCAGTTTCCCGGACTTCCCCATCCCCGGCGTGCTGTTCAGGTGCGGTCACGAGCCCGCGAGGCGTTGGCGCCCAGCGCTCGGCTCTTGGCGCAGGCGCCTGGGCAGTCTCGGGGATCTTGCCGGGCCTCCTCCCAGCCTTCCCCGGTCACCAGCCTGTCCTTGTTCCCAGGGATATCTCGCCCCTCCTGAAGGACCCCGACTCCTTCCGAGCTTCCATCCGCCTCCTGGCCAATCACCTTAAGTCCACGCATGGCGGCAAGATCGACTACATCGCAGGCGAGTGGCCACGCTAGGCCGTGCTGGTCCCCCACTACCCAGGCCCTCCCTTTCCCCCGTCTGTCACCCACAGCCTACCCCACACCCACCCTGACCCTCCTTTAGCACCCTGTTCCTCCCTGTGTCGTCCCTTATTGACCCTAGATGACTACTACGTCTCTACCCCTGCTAGGTCCTGACTTCCGCCCTCAGTGCCTGTTCCTACTTAGAGATGAACTCGACTCTGTCCTTGTTCAGGGCCAGCCTTTCCTCCCTTAGGGAATGAATCTGGCTGCAGGACCGTAAGGAGCATTGTGTGTTTCAGGAGAACTTTGAGGAAGGCCCTGGAACCTCCAAATGGGCTTCCTTGCTAGGGGCAGCTTCTAGGATGAGCTGGATGCTAAAAAATGCGGTAGCCTTGGGACAGACGGGGGCGTGCCTGGGCAGCCTGGAGCCTGGTAGCCTCAGGGGCTGTTTCTTTCAGGGCTATGCCAGAGTCTCTCTCCTTCCCCTACACAATCTTGTGCTTAACACCTGCCGTATACCAAGCTCCATGCTTGGACTTCAGAAACACCCTAGGGTAGCTGAATGTCCACCAGGGAAGTTGGACATGTCCCAGAGGGTGAGAACCCCAGAGAACAGGGTAGCCCAGGCAAGTGCTCAGGAGCCACAGTACTGATGCTCATTTCACTTCCTATTGGCACCCCCTGACCATGCTCCAGGAATTAGGGAATGCTTCCTCCCTGCTACAGCTCAGGCCTCCTCAGAGGTGACCCGGGTCATGTACCCCCGTACTGTAGAGTGCTCCTGGGCAGATGTTTTTGAGAGGTGGCAAAAGCCACCCTAAGTGACCCTGAGCTGTACAGAAAGCAAGTAACACCCCCAATGCTAAGAAGCTGCCCAATAGCCATCAGCTTTCTAGCTGTAGCTAGTAAGGTCTAGTATTCCCAGCCAATGCTGTTCTCTCTCCCTAACAGGCTTAGACTCCAGGGGCTTCCTGTTTGGGCCGTCCCTAGCGCAGGAGCTGGGCCTGGGCTGTGTGCTCATCCGGAAGCGTGGAAAGCTGCCGGGCCCCACAGTGTCAGTCTCCTATGCTCTGGAGTATGGCAAGGTAACCGGGCAGTGGGTGGCTGTCTAGGAGCAGCTGGGAGCTCAGAGGTTGAGACACTGGGCCAGGTTTATACCACCAGGAAACATGGAAAGGCTAGGGGTGGTGGTCATTTGTTAGCTCCTAGACTTACACTTCCTGTCTGCAGGCTGAACTGGAAATCCAGAAAGACGCCTTAGAACCTGGGCAGAAAGTGGTCGTTGTAGATGATCTCCTGGCCACTGGAGGTAAGAGCCACTCCACGGCATAAACAGGTTCCAAAGGGACAAGCCTTATCTGGGGTGCTGACTCGGCAAAGAGACACCCTACCTTCTCTTTTCCTTGTCCCTTTGCCCCCAGGAACCATGCGTGCGGCCTGTGAGCTGCTGGGCCAGCTACGGGCCGAGGTGGTGGAGTGCGTGAGCCTGGTGGAGCTGACCTCGCTGAAGGGCAGAGAGAAGCTAGGGCCTGTGCCATTCTTCTCTCTTCTGCAGTATGAATGACCAAGGGGCTGGAATAGCTGCTGCACCCCCGCCCCCAGCCTCTCTCTATGACTGGACAGCGGCTCGGCCCTGGCACCCAAGTGACCTTTGTGAGCCACCAGCTGCCCCTTCCTCGGCCACCATGCCTATGGACCACCTGGGCCCTTGCACTTTCTGTATGTGCTGAGTCCTGAAGCAGAGCTGTGCTGCTGCTGTAGGTTATGGCACAGCAAGATCAATAAACAGCTTTGTTACACACGGTGCTTACTGTCTTGCATGGATCCCATTCCACGGCTGACGTGATAGGGGGCAGGGGGCAGAGATGGGGCCCAGCGTCAGCTTACGGACCTGAAAGCAGCAGGCTCAGCTCTGTACAGAAGCCATAGACAGCCCCCTAGGAAGCAGTCTCCCTTTGATGCTGACTACGTGTGTAAGTTTTCTAGGCCATTCTTTGGGGGCCTGAGGGCACTGTACAGTAACCACCTTAAAATCCTATTTTGTTGAGCAGCAGTACCAAGTTGTTAGGTCAGAACT